CAAACTGTGGTATATGTACACCATGGAATACTATGCAGCCATTAAGAAGGATGGAGACTTTACATCCTTCATGTTTACATGGATGGAGCTGGAGAATGTTCTTCTGAGCAAAGTCTCACAAGAATGGAAGAAAAAGTATCCAATGTACACACCCCTATTATGAAACTAATTCCTTTTATATGAAAGCTATAACCAAATAGCCTAAGAATATGGGGAGAGGGGAGGGAGAAGAGAGGGGGAATTGGGTGGAGGGAGGGGGTTTGGAGGTATTACTTCTGAGGTTTATCTTACAGGGGTACAAGTGAATCTTTCTAAGAGTAGAATGTGAACGTTTTAAAACAATAACTGAGAAAATGACATGAAGGCTGTGTTGACCAGTTTGATGGAAGTATTTTGGATTGCATGTGAAAACCCCACACTGTACCCCAGAAGTGCACTAATGTACATAGTTACCATTCAATGATCAACTGGCTCAATAAGAACCAGACTGCAGAGAAGAAAGAAAGTGAACATCAGCAGAAAAAGCCGGAGAAAGTCTACAACTCCGTAACTACCAAGCTGTAGGAGAGTGCACGTTCTCCTAGGCACGTTCTCCTGTATACTTTACAGGAGAGTAAACGCCAAGAAAAAAAAAGCCTAAATTCCATTATTCCACTGAAAAATAGCACTTGCCTACTGTTTTAGTTTTTTATTTCATATGTTAATGGTATTTTTCTACCTTAGAACTGAGCCACCATATCTAGCAAATAATAGATTTTTAAAATAATTTGTTATAATAGATAAAATAAATAATCTAAAAGGAAAATAAAAAGAAAGTGTTGCAAAAAAAATTAGCTTATTTTTTAATGTAAGCCAAAAGGATTAATGGAAAAGAAAAATATAGAAAACAATAAAATCAGCTTAAACAGCTATATATATGCAAATGTAAAAGTTAAATAGAAAAAGAAATAAAAAAGGGAGAGAAGAAATTCCTGAGAAAGAATATAAATCACAATGAATTTTTATAGAACAGTGTCCCAAAGCTGCCCCTAAAGTTGCCATACATGGGGAAAATAGAGAAGAGTAGCTAACTGTACTTTCATTTACAAAATACTCATTACAAAATGTCACGAAGAGGTGGCCAGCACAAAGAGAATATCTTGTAAATGTTTCCTAAAAGTTCATAATGAATATTTTGTAAATAAAGTTAAATTTGGCTACAATTTCCCATTTGGGACACCCTGCAGTAAAAATAAAAGTAAAGCATTTAAACCTAAATATTTTTTAAAATTTCCAGTAAAATGAAGTTTATGCTTACACATCAACAATAGGAAAAAAATAGAAATGTGTATTTCTGACTAGATCGTCTTGGTTTATTTCACAAATCATGAGATCTTTGAAGGGGAAGAAAAGCAAGAGGTGGACAGTTGGATCCTTATTCCTTTTCATGGGTTAGGCATAGCTGCTTGAATGTTCTTTATAAAACTGTAAAGGTGAGAAGCAAACTTTTCAGCATATGACCTTAGGTGAACATGGTTAGCCAGTCCACCAGTGGGCCTTGTACACACCCAGAAGCAAAACCCCAGCAAATTCACTTTTAAATCAATCTTTACCATTTATTTTATTGGAGTTATTTAGCTATTGTGATCATTCTTTGCTCTTGAATAGAGTACTATTATCTTATTTTTAAGGTAAATATTACACTCGGAACTATGGAAGATATTTAAATGATTAGAAAGGATAAATTGTATTTGCATATTACTTCTTTATTTCTGAAAGAGTGTTGTAAATGAATTCAGCACTGTGGTGTTAGGGGACTTGAAGAAGAAACTTGGGAACTGATAGATTATTATCAAGGTAAAGGTACTTATTCCCCAGATGGCAAATTCTACCTATTTTAGCTTTTATTATCCTTAGGATAGTGTTCTATTTATTTTATGAGTACAGAAGTTTTAATTGGGTATGTCATGTTTCAGAGACAAAAGAAATGCCTAATTCACTCTAACAAACTTGTTAGTCACTGTTTATACCAAGAGGATTTCTACTCTACAGAGAATAATATTGTTTTCTTTTTCCTTTGTTGATAAATCAAAGTTTTACACTGACCTATAGCAGCCAAGCATACTTTAAAGCAAAATCATGTCAGGCTAACACAGATATACATCCTTTTAGCTTTATGTATTGGTTTTTTTTTTTTTTGTCCATTTATTCTTTAAGAAATGTTATATTCTAAAAATAATTTAGTAAGAAAATGTTAGTTAAATTTGTCATCATAATTTATCTAATAAGAAAAAATTTACTTACAGGTTTTAGTATCATTTAATTTTGATGATATTAACTGAAGTTTTATGATTTATCCTTTAACATCAAGTTGCTAGCAGATTTTTGCTTATTTTGATATTTAAATATAGCTAGTGTAGGAATGATGTATAGAAATAACTTCACCCATGTATCTGGCTTTCTATTTGTTATGAAGCTTTAGATTTTTAGAAATGTGCTTTTTATGGTATGCCCAGCCTAGTGCATGATCTTTCACTTGAAAAAAGGCTGGTGGTAGGGGGTGTAACAGTTTCAGTCCACCCTCATTCTGTTCCTGTTTGCTTTGTTCCACAATCACTGTGATCCTCCTGGCAGGGAACAAGATCCAGAGAACAAAACTAGTAGTAACTGTATAGATAAAAAGGCAATGAATTCTGCTTTTAAGGCAAAGGGGGAATAGTCTACAAAGGAATGAAAATAGGAATAAAAAGTGTAGCATTGTTAACCTGGAGATCTATTGTCCTTTTGAAAATCTTACACTGCAGAAAAAAAAAGTGACACTACAAAGATTCATAGTTATGTTACTAAAAATCTTGAAAAAGGTCACCATTTAGTTAGTAGCCAAATACTTGACCAGAAAATAGCCTAGATTATTCATAATTGAAAAGCCATAGAACCTTTTTGTTTAAAATGACAGGACAGTGTTTCAGTAGTACACAAGTACCATAATATATTATTTATTCTCTACCAGAACATCTCTTTAGATACAGCGAAGATGATGAGGTCAAGACGAGTACTCCAGAGAAGAATGGGAAAGAAATGTTGGAGCAGACATTACAAAAGGTAGTCTAATCTTTGAGATATTGAGCTGAGCAAGTTAAATCTGAATTTTAACATAAAGGATTATATTTTAAAACGAGGGCTCATGAACGTAAATCTTGGATGAATCTTTAAATTTATAATTCAAAATCATTGGCTTGCCAAAATGGGGTTAAAAAATCAATATTGGTAAAATAAATGTATATATACTATTCCTTCCATTGGTGTAGATTAAAAATATTTTCAAAGATAAAATGGAGAGAATGAAAACAGTAGAAATTATAAAAATTTAGATAATATATGCTTGTTAGTTATAACAATTTAAGTTTAAAATAGATCATAATAAGACTCTATGCTGTACTTTAACAAATATAGAGATTTTTCAGTATTTTTCAATATTTGAACTAAAAACAGAGGATAGTTGTAACTTTACCCTAGTTAAATTGTAATATGTTCATAAATTTAATTTTAAAGTAGAAAATGTACATGACTCATCTCATTTTAGATAAAAATTATATCTATATGATTTAGAATAGCTTTCTATTTAATATGACTATGTGAACCCTATAGTCGTGATACAGTCTGGCTATCATTCATATTAAAGTACTGTTTAACATGCTAACATTTAACTTCAGAATTTTATACTTAATGTCTGTGCCTGTGTGATTAGTTATAAAGTGCAGTTATGTAAACTTGATTATATTAACACTTATTGTTTATAGAAAATGCTCTTTAAATAATTTATTCTTATAAGAAATTTTTACTTGGCTATATTGGATTGATTTTGTTTTTTACAAACCTGTAATATTTAGATAAAGCTGGAAATGCACAAATCAGTAAACAGAAATATTCATGCAGCCACTTATATTTCTTGCATCTGTGAACTGACTTGTAGGAAATCTAGTCATTTATAGCAGATGACATGATTCCTTAAATTTCTAACACTTGCCATATAGTTAGGCAACAAATAGGTCATGTCATTATTACTGAATGATATACATCAGGTTAACATAATAACAGTGAACAAGAAATGTTCATGTTCATTTATCTTCAGGTTAAATGAGTAATTGAAATAATCTAGGTACTACCAGCTAGAATGTCATACAGTTTATACTAGCTTATCATCATCTTTATTTCAGAACAATATTGGATTGCCAGATTCTGTACAATTGGTAATTCTATGATGTATATAATATTATGCTACTATTTATTACCTTAGGGTTGAAACCCAACAGAAAGCTTTTATTTCATTCCTGCTGCCATAAGTAACTACTACCATAGTGGATCCAGAAATCCATTTTTAAGCCTGAAAAACAAATATGAATTTGTCATTATTCTTTATACTAACATAGTTCAGTTATATTGGTCACAATTTAAATTCTCATGGTTGAGTTTCCGTATTATAAAAGGAAGTATATGAAACTCACAGTGGATTTAAAATACAGTAATAAGATGTAAACAATGTTAGTATAAAGTAGTATTGAAACCTATAAGCAGATTATTTTAAAATAATATATTAATATTTCACACTGTTATTGGCTGAACTATTGTCTCCCCCAAATTTGTATGTTAGAGCCCTATTTTCAGTATCTCAGAATATAACTGTATTTGTAGATAGGGTCTTTAGAGAGGTAATTACATTAAAATGAGATTATTAGAGTGGCTAATTCAATATGACTGGTATCCTTACAAGAAAAGGTAATTAGGATACAGACAAACACGGAGGAAAGTCCATGTGAAGATGTAGGAAAAAGATTGCCATTTGCAAGCAAAGGAGAGAGTCCTCAGAAGAAATGAACCCTGCTGACATCATGATCTTAGAATACTTCGTTATGGCAGCCCTAGCAAACTAATATGCATACTTCAAAATGTTAAGTGTTTTATTTCAATTTTAAAAAGAACCATCTCTTAATTATTTTAAATACATGTTCTGCACTAAAAGAAAGTATGGGCTTTAGCTGATGTGTAGCACACAAACTAAATGCATTTAACAGTCCTTAAATTTACATGCAATCTTGAAATTATTACAATTTAAAATTGTTAAACTTTAATTTTTGGTAAAACATTCCTTTATTTTGTAAACTAAGGACACATGAGTAGTAAAATAATGTTTTTCTAATTTATTAAAAAAGCAGCCTCAGTAGATTATTTTGTTCTTAATCATCACTTTTTTATATCAGTGTTAAATATGGAATAAAAATGTTATTTATTAATATACTTTATGTACCTACTTTTGGACTATTTAAATAAATTATTTTTATCTCTGAAATATCTTTTTCACAGTGAATAAAATATATAACCAAAGCACTTATGATCTCAGAATACTCTGCAGTTTATTAGCATACTTAGTTCTGTGTCACTTTGTGTAGAATTTTAACTTCTTTTACCATCTGTCCTTTATTCAACAGATGTATTATTGCATTTTTGAATGTATTCATCTATACCACCTTAGAATTATTTAGAAATTAAGTACTTTAGATTTATTTTGTCCTTGTGTTAATTATAATTTTTCTTTCATAAGTTAGAAAGATGATAAAAATACACTAAGAGATTATGATCTTGGATTTTTAAAAGAGTAAATTAAAATTTTCTGTTTAGGTCATTGAGTTGGAAAATCGACTAAAATCTTTTGAGAAAAGGTCAAGAAGATTAAAGGAAGGGAATAAAAAATTAATGAAAGAAAATCATTTCCTGAAAACTCTCTTAAAAGAGCATCAAGAAGATGCAGAGACCAGAGAGAAAGAGCTAGAACAGCTAGTAAAGGAAATTAAAGATGTAGAAAAAGAAAAAACTGAACTTCAAGTAAAAATCATTGAGCTGGAGAGAGAAGTCACTTCCTTACAGAGACAAGTGGCAGAAGCTAATGCATTGAGAAATGAAAATGAAGAGCTCATGAACTCGGTGGGGAAAGTGCACCAGTTAGCACACAAAGCTAAACCTGAGATGGCCACCATGCAAGTGAGATCTGGACAGTCTGACTGTAAGACAACCACTACCAAGGTTAAATTTAAAGCTGCCAAGAAAAAGTGCTCTGTGGGTCGTCGCTACACTATTCTCAATCACTCCATCAAGGTTATGAGCAATGTGTTTGAGAACCTCAGCAAGGACGGATGGGAGGATGTGAGTGAAAGCAGGTAGGGCTCTCATTAACTTAGCTCTGTGGTGGGGACACTGTGCATATGTAAAGCACTAGCAAATGGAGATTGAATTTCAACTACTGTTGATTTGGTATTCAGAAAAAATACTGTCAGATCCTTTGAAATATCTTGGGAGGTCTTGTTCTGAGCTTATTGACTGAAATTTGCATGCAAAATTAGCCACAACTGCATGAGTATTTGAATAGGTGCCAGGAAGCCCAAAAGAAGGCAATGCTTGATTTCTTCCAGTGATGCTATTTTCATGCAGTCATGAGGCTTGAAATTGACAGTTTGGCAGGTTGATTTAATTTGCTGGCCCTTTGCATATTCACCACTGACAGCTAAGGATTCCCAGGCAAGCCTACTAAGTCGGTTTAGTTATCTTGTGACATGCCAACCTGGGAGGAGAAACATTTTTCCCCCTTAATTTAGTTAGATAAATTTTGAATGACCCATTTCAGCTTGTTACCAGATGTCTACAAGCTGCTTAACATCCTTTAAATTAAGAACCATCTTCACTAATTATTTCATGTATGTATTATGCAAAGTCATTGTACTATCTTTAATTGAATGGTGGTTAAAAATTAGTTCTTTAAAGTTATAGCTCTGCAGATTCCTAGTCTGAAGTTATATACCCCTAGTGAATAGCAACAGGAGAATACTAAAATTCTGTAATATTTTTCTCTTACTCCGGGCTATACATTCATATATGCACTTGAAGCATATCAAGCAAAACCACAAAGGCAAATGAATGATAAAACACCTCTTTTTATATCTAGACAATAAGGAAGTTCACTGTTGCCAGAAATGCTAACAAATTGTTCAATTTGCCATAATTTAAAAAATTCTACCTTGTTTTACATTGACATACTTCCTCTTATTTACCTTCATTTTTGTTTTAGTTTGGTTTTATAAACCCTAATAGTGTTCTGTTTTAGATTTGGGATGCCTCTGAGTAGTTTTTGTAATCACAGACATAGAAATGAAAAGTATCTTAAAACATGGTTTCCAAATTTGTTTGCATATTAGAATCACCTGGAGGTCTTCTCAGGCCACACCCTAACTAATTAAATTATAACCTTTAGATTGGGATACATCCTTCAGTATTTTTTGAAACTTCCCAGCTGAATCTGTTGTGCCAACAACTTCGAAAGCACTGTCTTAAATTATCATCAGGTCAAGTCTCTGATCTTCAGGCAGTTATAAAAACTTAAAAAAAATTATAATGGGAAGGCAGAAGGATAAAGTCTGCATTTCTACTTCTGTTACCCAAGTTTTCTTTCCCTGTTCTCAAAAACAATTAGAGATAAAAGCCTCCTTAACTTAAAACCCACTAAGCATTTATCTGTATGTTCAAAGAAATTTTAGTTTCAGTTAGTAATTATATCTCAGGCACTTGGTACTTTATATAATACCACACTGTTTATAAAATAGCAACACACTTTATGTGTATATGAATAAATATGTGAAATTTGGTAAAACATTTCCATCATTAGTGCATATGCAGAAGGTCACGTGTTTTTGGAAGTATATCACACAATATCTCTTAAAATATAAAATTGTCATTTAAGTTATTTAGCTGTGACACTCGATTTTACACTGTGCTAAGTGTTAAATTTCCTGCTTGCCAGAACAGTCTCAGGAATCACTCAATTATAATACATTTTGAAACAATTAGAAATCCTGAAGTGGAACTTCAGGGACTTAAATAGATTATATTTCTTTTAATCTTTTCATAGTCTGAAATATAAGAAAGTTACTTGGATACCAAGAAAAATAGAAGTTATAAAAATGATATATACATAAGTTAGTATATGTAAGATACTGTATTGTATAATTATTACCCTATTAATATTTATTTCCTGTAGTTGACTAGTACTTGCAAGAGGATGACCATTCAGTGATAGGGGTTATCAAAAGGAGTGGTTTATACCTTCAAGAAGAAAAATGGAATTTCAGTATCCCTAGCAAATTATATGAAGTAAAGTTAAGTTTGTAAGGAAAAGTGGAGAAATAAGAATTTATTAAGCAGTTTATGCCAGTGTTCCCAAACCCTTTTGGCACTGGGGACTGGTTTTATGGAAGATAATTTTTCCACAGACAGGGTGGGTGGGAATTAGATCCTTAAAAGGAGCTCAGAACTTAGATCCCTCGCCTATATAGTTTACAGTAGGGTTCCCACTCTCTGAGAATCTGATGCTGCCACTAATGTGACAGAAGGCAGAGCTCCGGGGTGGTGATGCCAGTGATGGAGAGAGGCTGTAAACAGACATGAAGCTTCTCTCGCTGGGCTGCTGCTCACCTCCTGCTGTGCAGCTTGGTTTCCAACAGACCACTAACTGGTATAGGTCCACTGCAGCCTGGGGATTGGGAACTACAGTATTATGCCATTCCATAATATGCCATATTTTGAGCTGAAGGCAACTGAGAAAAAGTATGTTAAAAAAAAGCCTCTCTGCCCTGTCCCTAAAAGCAAGACATAAATCTATAACTACAGGTACTTTAGAGCATAATCAGCCCGGAGATGACAGGAGAGAAATCTCCATAACAAATGTCACTATTCTTCCTCCACCATTAGTTTCCCACATATTTGCCAAACAGAAAGGGTATGTTAAGCCTCTCAAAAGTGTGACAAGAATCTTATCATAGACACATAAGGTTACATCCTTTCTGTTAACTCTATTTTCCATTAAAAATTCTGGTTCTGGCAGGGCTTGGTGGCTCACTCTTACAGTCTTGGCACTGTGGGATGCCAAGGCAGTAGGATGACTTGAGCCCAGGAGTTTGAGAATAGCCTGGGCAACACAGTGAGACTTTGTCTCTACAAAAAATAAAAAATTAGCTAGGTGTGATGGCATGTGCCCATAGTCCCAGCCACTGGGGAGGCTGAGCCAGGAGGATCTTGAACCGGGAGTTGGAAGTTGCTGTGAGCTCTGATTGCACTATTGCATTCCAGACTAGATGACAGAGTGAGATCCTGTCTTCAAAACAAAACAAAACAAAATAAAACAAAAATGCTGGTATTATTAGAAGTGACTGCAGCAGTGGTCTCCATGTGTCCCAACAATATAAAACAAATAGGAGAGCATAACCAAAACTCAAGAAAAAGATTGTGTCTGCTGTACATCTAGGTGACAACCCAAAATGTGAACAAGTGCAGACAAACACCAACAGCTGTAAGACTTACATGGTTTAGGAGAGAGAAAATTGATATTTGATGTCCTGAGAACAGAAAAATATGAAATCTCTAAAGAGACATTGACTAGAAAACACAGCAAGCCAATCTAAGAATGACAACTCAAACTAGGAGGGGATTCTGTAGGTTCTACTTTGCAAGTGAAAGTCAGGGAACCATTATACTGTCCAGCATGCTGAAATACCATATTTCCTATGAACTATCTATGCCAAAAAACCTAACACTTCTGTACTGACCAAGCCTAGTTTTCTTCTAGTATTTTTATAGTTTCAGGTCTTATAGTTAAGTCTTTAATCCATCTTGAGTTGATTTTTATGTATGGGGAGAAATAGGGGTCTGGTTTCATTCTTCTGCTTATGGCAATCCAATTTGCCCAGCATCATTGAAAAGGGTGGAAGAAACATTTCATGGCAAAGGATATGTGACAGTCTTGGAAATCCCTAGTCTTACCACTGACTTTACAGCATAGTGGATGATCAGGCTTAGTTACAGCATGAGCTAAGGTACATACCTTATTTCAGCTTATGATTTCTTTCATTTTCAATAATGCATCGATCCAAGAATAAAGCCTTATAGGTTGGAGTCGCCCCTATAACTTTTTAACCAGATAAACCTTACTAGAGTAATTTTTTGTTCTTATTGCTAGGACCTTGGTCTTGGTGGATTTGAGGGTTTTCATGTGCAAGGTAGAAAAGCTCCCCATGAGAACACAGTTACGGCCAATGGGGTTCCTCATGTTATCGAACTAACAAGTATCAAAGGGAGCTACTGTATTAGAGCAATTATTTTAATCACTAAGTAAAATTGGGAGGACCATGTGCGGATACCAGAAGATTCACTATGTACCTTTAAGTTCTTTTTTACCTGTTAGTTTTGTCTCTGCTGCCTTTGGTAGCAAAGTGTGAAAATGTTGAAATTGTGTATATTTATTGTTTCCAGTTCCTTTCATCCCCTCATCATACCTCTAAAACCATTCTTTTCAAGGTCCTTACCACATTGCCAAATCCAAAGTCAGTTCTTATTCCTGATCTTAATTGACCTGTCAGGAGTATTTGACACTGATTTCTACCTCCTCTTATTATGGTTCACCATATAATACTCTCTATTTTCTTTTTCTCAATGATATTCAGGCTCAGTGTCATTTGTTGGTTTTGTTACCCCCTCCCCATCTCTTAGTTTTCAAGGGCTTAGTCATTAGATACTGCCTTAGTCCATTTTGTGTTGGTATAACCACATAAAGAATACCACAGAATGGGTAATTTACAGTGAAAAGAAATGTATTTCTTACAGTGGTAGAGGCTGGGAAATCCAAGGTTGAGGAATCCACACCTGGTGACGCCTGCTGAATCATCCTATAGCAGAAGGCAGAAGGACAAGAGAGCAAGAGGAAGCTGAAGTCACTTTTATAACAAATCCGTTCTCTCAGGAACTAACCCACTGCAGTGATGACATTATTCTATTCGTGAGGGCAGAGCCCTAATGACCTAATCGCCTCTTCATAGGCTTCACCTCTCAACACATTTGCTTTGGGGATGTGAACATATGAACTTTGGGGGACACATTCAAACCATAACAGACATTTATTTGTCCCTTCAGTACTCCGTTGTGATCTCACAGTATGTATTGACACCAATGTTAAATCTTTAATTGCCACCCAAAATGTTTATGTCCAGCCTATACCTCTTGAAGTTTAGACTTGCAAGTTAACTGTCAACTGAATGCCTGTCAGATATCTAACAGCCTAGTGTTTACTCCTGAGCTTCACCTAGTGTTTAGTCCTGAGCAAAACCTGGCTCAGCTGCTGTCGTCCCATTCCTAACTAACAGTGTATACACGCTTAAGTTGCTGTGGCCCACAACTTGATATTATCCTTGATTCCAGTCTCTTTCCAGGTCCAGTTTATCAGGAAATCCTGGTGCATTTCTTCCAAAAATATCCAGAATCTTACCATTTCTTACCACTTCTATTGCTATCACTCTTACATATATACATCATTATTAGATGCCTGTATTACTATAAGAAGTTTTCTAACCTGCTTTCAGCATTGTGTTTAGTCTCAATTTACTAGGTTTTACCTACACTGCAGTGCTTAATTGTTCCCTGCAGACAGGAACTTCTACTTCAGGGATTTTAGCCTGATAGTGCCTTCTGCCTAGAATGTATTTCCCCAGATACAACACAGCTAACTTCCTCTTCTCTAATTCTTTGCTCCAATATTATAATAATAAAGGTAAATCTATTTCAAATTGCATTCTGTCCCAATTTCACCTCCTCTATTATGGATTCCTTCCTGTTACCCTGCTCATTTTTTTCTAATGGCACCTATTACTTTATATCATGATACATAATATTTCAAATGTATTGTGCTTATTGCTTATTATTTCCCCTGGCTAGACTGTAAACTTCAAGAGGGGATGAACATTTGAAGATTTTGTTCATCAATGTATCTCCCATGCATAGGACATAGTAGACATTTAGTAAAAAAAAATTTTTAAACATATGGAATGAAGAATTAAAAGGATAATGATGCACTCTGTCCCACCTCCCAAGATACTCCCCAAAAGGGCCTCTTTAGTCAATTTTAAACATTTTCATTGAGAATTTATCACAATTAAATATGATACATATGCCACTTTTCATATCATTGTAGAAGTTGCATTACTACAATTACTGTAATTACTGAATTACTGCTAAGTTTTGGGCAAACCAAAAAGGAGAGTAGAATACAAAGAGAGGTAATAAAAATAGAACACCTAAGAAAATAGATTACAGTATTTTGATCCAGAAATACCGAATTTCAGAATATTGAAATAACTTGCAGATTAGATCAATTGCAGGAGAACCCAGGTGGTATAGGAATATGAGAGAGAGAGAAATATATTTCTGCTATTCAAAAACCAGAAGGATGGTAATTCTCTAGTTGGTGTTACTGAAATAAATCCTAAAGAAGGCTGTAGCACATTATGAAAAACAGTTTGTGAATGTTTCTTAATAGAAGCAGCGATTTTTCAAAGCCAGCATAGGTTCTTCAAGGGAGATTCTTATCAGATTATTCTATATGTTTGTTAAAACATGATTATACTAAATATAGTACATCTAAATTCCATTAAAGTATGTTTATCAAATTTGTGTATAAGATGACATCGAAAAGGATGGAAAATACTTTTCAAAATAGAATCAAGATTCCCAAAGATCTCACAATAGACTGGGAAGATAGACAAAAGACTAAAAGAGTAGTTTACGTGGCTATACTGTAAAATACCAATTGCTCAACTATACAATGAGAGAAATATGTGGCTTTATAATAGTCTATATAGAAATATTTTAGGATGTTTTGTTAAACATTGTATGAATATATAGTGTGATGTATATGCCAGAAAAGCTAATACAATTTTAGTCTGCATCTACCTGTGGTTCTACTAAGTGCCTCTTACAGTGTACCTATTGCACAAAATTGAATTCTAGACACAATGCTCCATCATGGTAAGTGGGAACATCTTCAAGAATGACCAGGGAAGTAAAGCATTGCATCTCAGAAGCACATATATTAGGAATATTTAAACAGGCTAGGGATGGTTTCCTTAAAGACGTCTTAAATATAATCATGTCCAAATAGTTAAAAGATAGCCCATGTGGAAAGGGACTGATGTATATGTTCTTACTTAACCTGAACACTTCTAATCTCTCTTCCTTGCTTAATTTTCTCTCCTTAACACATAGCTATTAATAACATATCATATATTTTACTTCATATTTCTTATTCTTTGTTTCCTGTCCCTCCACTCCTGACTTTTTACTAGGATAAAAGTTATTTGAAGGCAGGGATTTTTCTTTTCACTTTATCTACTATAACTTTATTCTTTATGCCCATGAAAAAGCTTGCCCCTTAGTTGGTGCTTAACAAATATTTTAGTGAGTGGCAAATAGCCTTAGGGTATCAAACTTAGTGGATGAAAGCATCACAGATGCTTTCAAATTTTAAACTTGTTAGAAATATCAAACCTTTCCTGCATGAACAGGAAAGTAGTGTGTATTCCAAACCTGGAAGTGTTAAAGCACGTGCTTCCTGAGTTAGCACTTGGTATAAATGCTGTAGAAGTGATGCTGGTAGGGATTTCGTACTAGACAATCTACTTTCCTGATGGGATTCTATAATTTTATAAAGTATATTTAAACTAACTTTTTCACATGGAGAAGAAATGAATGCCAATATTAAACTCATAGCTTCATATACAGTATTTGCTGTAATATCATTTGGTCTTAAACTTAAAAGAAATACATGTAACAATTTTTATTCTTGGGTTTTATGCCCTTGCTTTTTGCTAAAAGCAGTGATTCTGAAGCACAGACCTCTCAAAATTTGGGAACAATTATTATAGAAACATCCCAGAAAGTAAGTCCTACAGAAGATGGAAGAGACCAGAAAGAAAGTGATCAAACAGAAGATAGCCAAACACAAGGAAAAGAAATAGTACAAACAGGCTCAAATATAAGTGGCGAGACCCCAAAGGTATGTGACACAATTTTGCCTAATTGTAAACAATGTTCTTAATTTTATCTTATATTTCATAACTTAAATCAATAAATATTGCCAGTGATTTAATTTGAATCCCTAAAAATTAAGTTGTCTTTGAAGTGTACAGTAAAAATATTTGCTTTTTAATAATTTTCATCTACCATTTGGTTAGACTTTTGCATAGATGAAAATGGAAATAAATACTAGTCTCACAAATATAAATCTGATGGTATTTATAACAAGAAAATAATACAGGTGATAAAAACCTCATTATTGTTTTCAGATATATAAAATTATCCAAGTGATAAAACTTCTGGGGTTTTTTTGAGTTTTTTATTTTGAGACAGTCTCACTTGTCACCCTCAGTAGAGTGTGTGTCGTCACAGCTCACAGCAACCTCAAACTCTTGGGCTTAAGTGATTCTCTTCTCTCAGCCTCCCAAGTAGCTGGGACTACAGGCACCCACCACAACACCCAGCTATTTTTTGTTGCAGTTGTCATTGTTGTTTAGGTGACTCCAACTGGGCTTGAACCCGCCAGCCTCGGTGCATGTGCCTGGCACTGTTAGCACTGTGCTATGGGTGCTGAGCCAAAACTGTAGCAATAAAGTGATCTAGTCTGTCTGAATCTTTGAATTATTTATACCTTACTTAAGGCATTTTAAATTTTGAAAAATTGATTTTCTAATAAACTTAATTATGTACTTCTACCACTAATATATTATAAAATATGAAAATTTACCTATTCAGCATAAATCAGTGAAAAATTTGAGGAAAGATCATTTCATTTGTTGAAAAACAGGTTGTCTTTCAATTAACCTGTAGAATTATTTTAAAACATAATTCAAAAAAGGTATATTTGTTGAGACCTTGCCAGAACTTTGGAGGAAAAAGTTCAAGGATTACAAAGGTCTATTTTAGTTACTAACAACTGTGTGCTAAAAGCCTACTGATTGATTTATTGATAAATTGATAAGTAGCTTTTATAGAAATTACCTATTTTGCTATATATTATTTGGTTGGGGATTTTCTTTAGTTATAGATATTTATGTGCAGCTTAATGGGTTTGTAAATAAAACTAACTCAGAACTTTATTCTCATAACAATAGAGTACATTATAAACTACTTTGATTTGATCTAGTCATACTTTTGGCAGTCAGAAAATAAATGTTGACCAAAGTATGGAAAGTGTGTTTGGAAAGCACCTCTAGCTAACTCCAAATATATTCATTATCCTGACTTTAGATTAATGACTTCCCTCCTTTCCTTCATAATTTTACTCTCCTTAACATTATGGTTTTGAACTTTGTGGTATCTGGTGTTGGCTGTTTACATTGCACATGAACTTTATGGATACCCTGTATAGTATCTCTTTTGTATCTCACCTCTTTTATTGAATATTATTAGTTCATTCACTTTCATTGTTATAGATACATTGTCTGAAATTTTGGTTGCTTCAGTTTGATTTCTTGCATATAATGCTGCAATGAATATTCTTGTACATGTCTGGGCATTTCTGTAATAAAAATCTAGGAGTGGAATTACGATACCATAACTTAAGCATTTCTAAAAAGATTTTAGTTGATAGTGCTGTTTTCCAAAGTGCTATACTACTAGCCTATGGAAATTTCCACTGCTCTTCATCAACACTTAGAATGAAAGTCTTTCTCTTTTCAGCCACTTTTGTGTGTATGTTGAGTTGACCAGGTAGGTTACCTCTGGACTCAAGGAACAACATGGTGGTGAGTTCTCTGGGTTTTAATTTTGCTTCCTATATCCTGGCCTGGATCTTAGATAAATATGCAACCTGGAAACCCCAGTAGGTCAGATGATAATGAGCCACCAATAAAACTCTGCTCTTTTTAGCCAAAGGTTCACAAAAAAGCTAGCCTACCACGAAGGAAAAGTTTATACAATAACTGTCCTACTCCAGCCAGTCACCACAGAAAAAAACTGTAACCTTGTTTGTACCCTCTTCAGTAAAGACCTAGTGGGCATCTAGACTTTCACTCTCACATGGCTATAAGGGAGCATCTCTCACTTCCCCCTTCTGCCAGAGTGGTGTCAGAGAAGACAAAGTGGGGAGCTAACGATAGTGACTCCTCCTCCTTGTCATTGGAAACCACATAGGGAGACTGGATATCCATCTCCATTCAGCAGTAAAGAGGTATACCTTTCCCTTCTTAGTAGAGCAATTTCAAAAGCCAAATGCATAGATAGGGCATTTCATTATCCCCTATTCCTAATGAGCCCTGACCTGTTCCCCATGGTATTAATGGAGGACAAGTCGGGAGCATCAACGAGGTCCCTGTCTTTCAACTACCCATGATGGTATCAGCCCAGGCCTATTGGAGAGCCTGACATTCCCACTCCCACCAAACATGATAAGGTGACTGCTTCTAACGAAGGTGTCAACAGTGACTGGATTTGGACGCCCCCCCCCCAGCAGTAATTAGATGGTGTGCCCCTTTCCACCAGTGTGATGTCAGAGAAGATCTGTTCACATAAGATGTAAATTAAGATCCAAAGTCTCAAAACCCCAACGTATAGGATACAATTCAAACTCTCACATGTCACACCAAGAACCAAGTAACCTTAATTTGAATGAGAAGAGATAGGTCAACAAAAGCCAAAAGTGAGAATTACACACATTCCCCCAACTAAACAATGGTTGACCAATGGTTGACATAGATATTTTCATCTTTGTGATGGAATGAAAGCATTATGCTTTCAGTAGAAACCTTACTTTGCGTACCCAAGCAGCCATTCTGTTTTTCACTTCAGCACAGCTTTCAATGAATTACATGAGATATTCAACACTTTGTTATAAAATAGGCTTTATATTAGGTGATTTTGCTGGACTATAGGCTAACATAAGTTTGTTCTGAGCATATTTAAGGTCCTCTAAGCTAAGCTATGAAGTTTGATAGATTAGGTGATTATTAAATGTATTTTTTACTTACAGTATTTTCAACTTAACAGTGGGTTTTAATGCCATCATATGTTGAGCATAATCTGTATATGACAAACATTTTAAAGTAGCTGCCATAAAAATGCTTCTACAAGCAATTATGGAAAGAGTTAAAACAAACAAAAAAATAGAGCATCTCAATAAAGAAATAAAAAGCCTCATCAAAGAAATAGAAGTTATAAAAAATATCCAAATGAAAATTTTAGAAACAAAAATAACTTTATATTTGTCTCAAAGATGGTGGCATCGATCTTCATCACTCAAAATTGATTCTGATATCAAGACTGATAATATCATGCACCCACTGAGAAGGGAGGAAAAATTTATTATTCACATAATAGAATAGAGAATCTGCAAATGGATGCACCACCAGTATGAACACTGACTTTTGACAAAGGTGCAAAAGCAATTCAATAAAGGAAGGATAGTCTTTTCAACAAATGGTGCTTTGGCATTGGATGTCCCAAGGCCAAAAACAAAACAAACAAACAAAAAAAACCCTATACCTAAACTTTGCACCTTATGCAAAAATTAACTTGAGGCAGATCATGTATAAATATAAAAATTAAATTATAAAACTTTTAAAAGACAATATGAGAGAAAATGCTTAGGACTTCAGGGACTACAGCTTGACAAAGAGTTTTAAGATATGATAGTCAAAGCCTGATCCATGAAAGAAAACATCAGTAAGTTAGACTTCATCAGAATTAAGAATTTTTGTTCTGCAAAAGACCCTATTGGAGGATAAAAAGACAAGCCACAAACTGAGAGAAATATTCATAAAATTTACATATCTGACAAAAATCTCACATATTGAATATACAGGGTAGACATCAAGTTCATGTGCAATTTAAAAGAGTTATAACTTTAAATTTCATATGAGCTTTATGTCCACCTGCATAAAGAACTCTGAAAACTCTTAGAAATGAAACAATTCAATAAGAAAATAAGTAAAAGAGTAGACATTTCACCAAAAAGGATATATAAATGACACATAAGCACATATAAAGATATTCAATATCCCTAACCATTAGAGAAATTAGATTAATACCATTATGTTCTATACATCTATCAAAACAGCTAAAATAAAAAATAATGTCAATACCAAATGCTGGCAAAGATACAGAGAAACCAGATATCTCATACATTGCTTGTCGGAGTATAATAAGGCTCAATACAGTACTCTGGAAAACAGTTTAGCAGTTTCTTAAAAAACTGAGCTTAACCATGCAACTAGCTATTATGTACTTGGACACTTAACCCACAGAAATGTTTACCAAAAATACTTGTACATGAATGATCATAGCAGTTTTATTTGTAATAGCTGAAAACTGAGAACAACCAAAATTGTCTTCAATAGCTAAACAGTTAAACAACTACATTGCATCCATAATACAGAATACTACTCATCAAGTAAAAGGAAAAAACTGTTGTACAAAATGTCATAGCTTTATGACCTTAAATTTCTCATCTTAAGTTGAGGACTAGAATTTCTTACCTGACTTTGGCATTCTGTATTGCTATTTAAATGGAATTCTAGGGGAACAAGGCATTGGCAATTGTCTTACATTTTGCTGGTGACTTTGTTGGTAACTTCTTTTTCTCTCTGGATTTTGGCTTTTACTCATTATTGCACACAGGGAATTTCCTTAATGTTTTGCCATGTTAGAAAGACACTTTAAGTGTATTTGTTTTACTGTATGCAAATTTTCTAGTTAGTACTCTAAATAGAAGCCCATTTTTTTTTAACTATGTGTCTAGTTAATTTGATGCCAAGTCTTGTGACTATTTTTGGTAACTTAATTGGTAGTTTGAGATTTTTACAGTACTTATATGTGACAGACACTTAGGTATTTATTGAAATCTTTTAAAGCAATGAAAATTTTGAAAAATATACCTTATATGTTAGTTCTGGAGACAAGTTCAAATGGGGCATTTCAAAAATATTTTGAGAAATGCAACATTGGCAAAGGTTTATAATCTCTGAAACTAGTTTAAAGGAAAACCCTACACTACATACAGGCTTCTAGTATACATGTTAATAAATTGGTTTCATTACTTTAGGGCTGGGCTTTACATATGACATAGAATAGTTTATGTATTCATCAATATAAAATATGTGGCTTATTGTCAAAGTAACAGTGGGTCAAATTTAGTTCTTCATAACCTTTTTGAAGGTTATGTAATTATTGTAATTACATAATTATTTACTTGTATATTATTTACTTGTTCCTTAATTGGGATCTTTGAAAAAGTTCTTTTTTCATTAAGAAATAGTTTTCTAGATTAAATATATCTTGTTTCCCAACCAATAAATTCTTTTTTTATTAGTTTTTTATTAATTCATCGCTGTGTACATTAATGCATTTATAGGGTACTATGTGCTGGTTTTATATACAATTTAAAATACTTTCATGAAACTGGTTAACATAGCCTTCACGGCATTTCCTTAGTTACTGTGTTAAGATGTTTATATTCTACACTTAATAGATTGGTGGAACCACACCTATGGTGCATTTTAGAAGGGTACATATTATACCAACCAATAAATACTTAAGTAAGACCACCTATTACTGGGATTTGTAACATTTTTGAAACATTTCTATTTAAAATTTTGCTTGTGACAGTGTTTTCAGATTGGTGAAACATTTTGGAACAAAATTCAGTCTTACTATATTGGAATATTCTGAGGAAAACATAAGGTTTCAAGGAACTTTACTTGATTATTGTCAACATTATTTTACCTCCATTTGTTAAAATGTTATTAGCTTCATTTGTTTATATATAATAGAGAAAATTGTTTGAGAAAGGACCTATTATTTTAAAAAATAAGTTGTTAATTATTCATATTTTAGTTTTATAGCTGTTACTATATTTTCTCTAAGGTTTTTTAACTGTCCTTAGGTTACATTTATGCTTCTTTGAATTGATTTTGTGTCTCTACCTTCTGCCTGCTAGTTAAGTTTAGTGCATATATTAAGTTCATTTGTAAGTTCTTGGTATCCATTATAAAATTTTGTTATCTAGACTTTTAAAAACTGCACAAATGTATTTTTAAGGAAAGAGATATTACTTGTTGTATTGGTTCATTTGATGTTATTGAAATAATTTTTGTGAAACTTTAAATTTAGGATAATTTTCATTGTAAGAATACCAAAAAACCAACTTTTCAAAAGAAGAATGGTAGTATGCAAAAGAGCATACAGCATTTACATACAGCATTTCCTACTGGAGGTAAGAATACATATGAAATTAACAACATTTATTTTAATGTGATCTAATTTTTAAAATATTATGATCATTATTTTTATGTAGTCAACCGAGAAAAGTACAAAAATGTGCCTACCCAGAAATTAAGTAGCAGCATTATCTCATTAAGAGAACGGATTACATCCTTGCAACAACAAAACAGTGTACTTCAGAATGCCAAAAAAGCAGCAGAATTGTCTGTTAAAGAATATAAGGAAGTTAATGAAAAGCTTCTCCATCAACAGCACGTATCTGATCAACGATTTCAGACAAGCAGACAGACCATAAAGGTAAAGACTTTAAGATTGAGTTATACTATAGTGTAAAGGTGGATGTTTTGTTTTGCATGTGTTTAATTCATATTTGCGTTAGACAGGTCTATTAGTAGAATAAAAAATCCATGGCATTTGTTAAATAATGTAAATAGTTTAGTTACTAGACTTCTTTAAGTAAGATCCATATTAAGGGACAACTTACGTGAGGGAATTAATTCCAAATCCAAAAGATACTTTACTAACATTTCTATTCTGCTTAGCTATTAATATTGCTGTACATGGTGTATTGTTTTATATCTTAGTTTTTATGTGTAGGCTCCATAAATGCATTTAGCTTACTCATTTACCCATGTCGAAACATCGTATTTATGATTATAAATTACACTATTAAACAATTGTATTAGTTACTCTTTGCAAATACTGTTAGAATAAAATGTGAACATTATATGGATATATGTGTACATGTGTGTATATATATGTAAATATATACATATACATATGTATGTATCTTAATGTATTCCAATAACCTATCTGTACTTCCTTTTACTCATATAAATTGAGCTTACCTTAATAATTTTTAGACACATTCCTTACACCTAGTTACTATAAGTTAATCTCAAAGCAAATGAAAAAGAAAATATTTTTTTCCTTAAAAAATAGAGTCTCTATTCTTTAAGATATTTGCTTGACTAAAGAATGATGTGTTAGAAATTGTTATTTTGCACAGAAAAATTTATTTCATTATATTAGGTAATTTTGAAATCACTATCACACATATTTATAAGCTTCACTTAATTTCTCTAATCCTAGTAATAATGTCTAGTTATTTGATTCAAATAATAGTCAGAAATATGAAATTAATTATAAAGGATTAGTGTTACACCAGTTATACAAATAAGAATTGTGTTCTGGCTTGATTCTCATCATAGCCTTATACCCAAACTTTACATGCATTCCAAATTTAATTTACACTGTAAACTTGAGGATTTTACAGGCTTGGCCCTTGGAAACTTGGGCGCAGGATACCAGATACAATTGACTTCTAGTGTTAGAGCTCTATTACATGTAAGATACCACAACCACTGTACGGGAACTAGATTTCACAAAATGGTTTGATGAACCCATATTCATTTTACTGGCTGAATTTTTTTTTCTTTTTCTTTGCCTTCATCTCCTTTCCGCCATTTCTTCTTCCTCTCTGCCACCCTTCCTTTCCTACTTCTCTAGTTAAATGATATTGTATTTCATATTTCAGCATGATATTATAAACTATATGTATTCCTAAGTTTTTATACAAATAACAAAGTGACATGAAAGAACTTTTACAAAAAGAAAAGAAAAAAACTTCTTAACCCTAATTGCTCAATCTTACATCAAAAATATTTGAACTCTCTTCTATTTTCTCTTAAGTAATATACTAGATCATTGGTTTTGCACAACTAGTAAATAATAAACCCTATATTGTGATAGGCAAATTGTATAAGAAAGTCACAGTTGTTATGAAAACCAAATTTCTCATTTTGTTTTGGAATAGGAGTTTTCTTCAATGGGAGGTTGAAAAATAGTGGTATAGTCACTTGCTTTAGAGTCTTAAATAGGATACACTATGAGAAAAATAAAATAGTAGACTTGGAATTCAACTGAAAATCTGCATATGATGTACTTTTCTTTTTTTCTTTTTAGGCAACCAATTTTAATTTCCTTTCTTAAAACTCTTCAAGTGCCATGCTTGTTAGTACCAAGTGAGAAATCCACATTTTTAGCAGGAATTTCAACTACTTGTAAAATGAAAGATAGGAGGTTTAAGTACCACTTCAGTTACTGTAGGGACCACGTGCATTTTAGAGAGAGTATGATTTAGAACAGTGGTTCTCAACTTTCCTAATGCCGTGGCCCTTTATTACAGTTCCCGTGGGTCACGACTCACAGGTTGAGAACTGCTGATGTAGAAGATCAGAAGAGTTGCTTTAATATGCGTTCCTTCCTGAGCACTATATGGGAAGCTACCCTAAATTGCTAAATTTTAGCAATATCAGATCTTACTTAGTACAAAGTGAAATGTTATATTTTTGCTGCTACATTATAGATGTAACTTATACTTAATTGTCTGTAGGTACTTATCTTTTTTTATACAGATTTTCTTTAGATGATGGGAAGATACAGGAACAACTAATATTGAAAAAAGTACTTCTGGAAAGCATAAGAATTAGAATTTAGAGATTTTCTACCTCAAAAATGATTATGAACTCAAATGTAGCTAGTGATTAATAAGAATTAGATTTTACTTGCATATTGTGTACATATGGAAATATAACCAAAGGTGGTAACTAAGTTTAAAATTATGTTAAATTTAGAAGTTGATAAAATAACTTCCCAAATTTTATAGAGGTATAGACAAAATTTCTTTAGTCAGTACTTTAGTATAGTCCTTCTGGGCTCCAGCATCATAGACCATGTCAAGATTCCAGATTTCTTAGAAATTTTTTAGCTTACAAAATTGAGAATTTTGATAACGTGTTCATTTCTGTGATATTTTTAGAAATGGAGTTTATCAAAACCAATTGGTAAATTCAGTCTTTTTCTGCCTATTTATGTTGGAATACCTAGATATTTGATAAAGTATTCTAATATTTTTATTTTTATATCTATATCATTATTTAAAAGATCTTATCATTCTTTTTATTTTGTTTTGTATTTATTTATTTATTTATTGTTGGAGACAGAATCTCACTAGGTCACCCTCTGTAGAGTGCAATGTTATCACAGCTCACAGTCGCCTCAAACTCTTGGGCTTAAGTGATTCTCTTGCCTCAGCCTCCCAAGTAGGTGGGACTACAGGTGCCCCCACCAACACACCTGGCTATATTTTTGTTACAGTTATAATTATTGCTTTAGCTGGCCCAGCGGGTTCAAACTTGCCAGCCTCTGTGTATGTGGCCAGCACCCTACCCACTGAGGTATGGGTGCCGCCCAGTCCCATCATTTTTAAAGAAAGTTCCACAGCTTTGAATCAGGCATCAGTAAGTTTTAGATTTACAGGATTTAAATATAGTGTACATTAATAACGAATACATAAGACAGATTTCAGTATTTGGGCAGACTGCACTTTTTCATATGTAATTAAAAGTAGCATTGTTTGTTGAGAAGTTGGTAAAGTAAATTATCGAAGTATTCTTTGATGTTTTTTCCTGTTAGTTTCATTGTAATGTACTATATTTTAAACTAATATAGACTTTCCTCCACAAGGCTTAAAATAAGTTTGAGCTTTATAACCAAATGTACTAACGTTTCATAAGAAAATTTTTAGCCAAAGGAACAGGTTTTGTTTTTACATATTTAGACTGAGCTGTCATCAATTTATCTCATGGGGTTTTTGTATTTTGTATCTTTTGTATTGTTTGTTGTGTTTTGTATTTATATACTCTAAAGCCATGTATGATGTACAGGTGGTATTTTACAACCAACAACTAAATAAGAACTAGATACATAGTAATGGTCTATGTTTCCTAAAAGTAGGTACTGTAAATATTATTGTAAAATATTCTAAATCTAATATTTAGATGAAATGAACTATAGCTGTATACTAAACATTAGTCTGTAGATTGAATATATAAATAGGCTCCTATTACCTATTTCAAAGAAAAAATTAGTGTAAGTCTTTTGCATTCATTTTATATTCTATATCATTGCTAGAGTGGTGAAGATATAAGTAAAAAATGTGCTAGCCTTATTTTTGAAGCCCTCTTTTAATATGAGGAAAATGTTTTATATATACAATGCTTAATTTTATGGATTTATTCATTTATATTTCTTGGATCTTAAAATATTTAATTTATACAAAAAGTAGAAAAAATAATGTTCTGTTAGACTGGGCATTCAAACATGAAATATTAACTTTGTTTTCTATAAGAAAGTTAGGAGATACAGAGATTTTTAAAGCATATGTAAGAAAAACCCATATTTCCACCCTACCGCTCAAATGATCAACTGTTAATAACATTTTGGCATATATAATTCCAGTTTTTATTTTAGAGGTATAAAATTTGACAAATAAGGCTAACATTTTCTATAACGGCCACTTGCAGCCCCATCTTCTTCCATTCTTCCCTGGAAGTGCTTTTCTGGGCTCCTACTCATTTTACAATAATTTTATAAAGATGTTACACATATATGTGTAGATTGATAAATAATATTTAGCCTTTTATTGTATAATTTTGTATATTTTAAAATCAAATTAAATTCATTTAAATAAATAAATCATTTAAGTCGTTACCATTTGTTGGGATTTACAGACAGTTCTGCATTAAATTTCTCCATGTGTTTCCTTGTGTTCACTGAGCTAAAGTTCTCTTAAACAAATATCCAGAAGTGAAATTGTTGGAAGATATGAATTATACATTTAAATATTTATTGTCTATTAAATTGATTCTACATAGTTTTTGTTCTCATTGTGAGAATGTCAGAGTGCCAGTGTTCTTCGTATCCTCACCAATACTTGATTTTGTCATACTCATGTTTTGTACATCTGATGATGAAATATATGGGATTAGATATTTTTAAATAATTTCTTATTATTCTGTCTATTTTCATTATTTCCACACAACAGCATTCATAATCCACTGCATTGTTTACATGCAAGTTAACACTATAAATAGTTTTTTAGAGCAAAACCATAGAGTTGCAGACATCATAATATGAACTAGAACTTAAGTGGTTTCTCATATTCCTTAATGGCCTTCTGTCAAAATATTTTCAATAATTTTTACCTTAAATTAATTTGAAAATCAGCACTACATAGTTTTGCTTTGGGTGTATTCCTTCAAAGTAAGGGCCTAAGTTTTCCTTTAAAATTTGTTTTGTAGCTTACTGCAAATCAATAGCATACTTAGACCATAAAGGATTTAGGTATTTTTAATTAAAAAAAATTATATTGTGATATAACTCACATCCTATAAAATGTACCCTTTAAAAATGTATAATTCAGTGATTTTTAGTATATTCTCCAAGTTGTATTA